ATGGAGGGGTTACAGCCTTTGAAGCTAAATATAATGCAACCAGTGGCTTCCTCTGCTGTAACGCAATGCCCTGCGTGTGCTGTGCAGCTGGGGTGAGCAGTGCTCCTGCAGGCAGGCAGGTTGCCCGTGTGCCAGCCATGGGTTGCCCTTGTGGGCTGCATTAGTGCTCCTCAGCAGCAAATGCAGCAGCCCCAGGCACAGAGTTTGCTTTGGGAGGCTCTGAGCGGCCACAGCTCTCCCAGCTTCCTCCTGTTTGGGCTTTGGGCAGCGCTGAGAACAGAGCCTGCCCTTGTGTAAAGGCCAGGATGTGGGTTTAGGACTGGCCTTAAGCATCTGACGTGTGTGTTTTGGCCTTAAGCCCTGACCTCACAAATATTTAAGTCAGTGGTGTCCAGCAAAATTGCTTTGTTGTATACTTTTGAGGACCGTCGCAGAATCGGGGCCATTGGTGCGAATAAACGTGATATCCAGCAAAGAAACTGAGTTTTCAACACAAATAGTTGTGCTCCCCATTTCATAACAGAAGGTATGTGCTGCGCTGGCCTGGAACTGCAGCTCCTCTTTGGCATCACAGCTTTTCCTCCCATTGCTCAGCTGTTCTCTGGGGGATTTGGTGGTCCCCAGCCCTGATCTTTGGTGGGCACTGTCCCTGCTGTGAGCTGTTGGCACAGGGCAGGCTTTTGCAGGAAGCCCATTGCAGCATCACAGCAAAAATTATATGGAAGCTGCATTCAATTTGGTGATGCAAAGCTCATAGCTTTTGTGCGGGAGTGGAAAGAATGGTTTTATTTAATGACCTGCTGAGTTTTCCATTTGTTTGATTGAACAAGAATTGGGGGTGAGGGAGAAGCTGTGCTCAGCACAAACCCCATGCCTGCATCCAGCTCACAAAGCACTGCACAGACAGAGTCACCATTCGTGCCTGCTGCTTTCCAGGCCTCTGCCTTCAGGTGCAGAACTGGCCCTGGGGAGGCTTACATTGGTTGGTTTGGGTTTGGTGCCCATCAGGCCTTTGCTATATTAAAACCAGATTTGCTCTGTTCCTCTCGAGCTAAAAATACAAAAGCCTTTGTCAGGCAAAGGGCTGTGCTAATTAATCCCAGCACCAAATCAGCGCCCGTCCTGCTAATAAATTCCATTGGGAAGAGATGCAGGAGCCGGGGGGTCTGGCTGGAACGGCTGGGATTGCTGCTCCAGGACTCATCCTGCTCCCTAGCCGGGTCAGGCACTGCCCAGAGCTGTGCTCCCTTCTGGCCCTTGGGAATTCCTGAGTGCCTTTTTAGCAGGAATGAACCTTGCTAAGCTGGTGGGTCTAAAATTAACCCTGCCAGCTGTGTTGCGACTGGCAGGGACGTGTCAGAGCTGCTCCTCTCTGCTTCCTTCGGTACGGGGCTGTAAGTTACAGCTTCTCCTCTCCTACCTCATCTGTGCCCCTGCTCCGTGTTACTGCTCTGCCAATCCCTGTGTGTGAGTGGCAAAGAGTGGGGACAGCCCTGCATTCCCATCAAAAGAAGGGCCAAATGGGACTCAGCTTCCCAACCCTTAGCTTGTTTTGGGGCTGCTCCTGGTGCCGTAGTTCTTGTGGCAGTGGAGCTTTTCACACATGGAAGGAGCATTGCTTTATCTGCATGCTCATGGACTATGATCGTTGCCACAACTGTTCTCCTTTTGGTCACCTTCAAATTGAGCCTTGCTCCATCCCTCAGCACTGCTGAGCAGTCTGTGCACCCTGCACACAGCATTACCTCATGTGCTTGTTCCGTGGGGTTTTTTTTTTTAAAAGCTGAGATAGTTCTTTTAATATTTTTTTTTCTTCTTTTCCCCCTGCAATCATTTCCAGCAGGGGAAAAAAAAAAATCCCCCCCCAAAAAAAAAAAAATAAAAAACAAACAAAAAAGCAACCCTTTCCTATTGTCTTTTCCTGCACCTGGTGGTCTGGAGAGCAGAATGCTGGGAGAACAGCAGCCAACAAACAAATCCTCCCTTTCATGCTCCATAGATGAGTGGCACATAGGCTGCGTCAAGCAATTACAGGAGGCAAAGGCCAGCAGTGGCTCTGCCCTCTGTAGGCAGGAAAACCTTGTTTCCTGCAGCCCAGATGCTCACCTGATGCACATCCCTGAGCTGGATGCCTCCCATCCTTCGCAGGCACATCGTGCCCTGCCTTGGGCACATCGTGCTGCTGGAGAGCAGCTCAACGTCTGTGGAGATGCAGCAGTCAGTGCTGGCAAAAGAAGTGGTGCTGCCCCTGCAGAGATCTCTGATTTCCAGCCCAGAAGACAGTGTCAGGGCTTTTGTTAGGGGATGGGAGGCTCTGAGGATTGCATTGGGAAAGTACAGATGGGAGTGAGCAGGAGCTGCACATGTCTCCTGCCCTGGTCTGCAGGGTGACCTCCTACCCTGTATGGCATGGCAGAAGGTAAGTTTCATCTTCTTCTGTTCTTCACCTCTTCTTCCTCTTTTTTCTAATCTCAATACTGAGTTTTCTTCTCCCCTCAAAGGGTGCTCCTGCAGTCTGGGGCTGATTTACACCAGTAAACCCTGCACGATGCCCCCCATCACATTCCAGGACCTGCCACTCAACATCTACATGATCATTTTTGGCACCGGCATCTTTGTCTTCGTGCTCAGCCTCATCTTCTGCTGCTACTTCATCAGGTGAGCTGGAACCCTGCAGCACTGATTGCTGTTCAGATGGGGACTCATCATCCAGGAACATCCGCAGAGCCTGGACCACTGTGCCCATCGCTTTGTCCCATTGCACAAGAGCTGCTCATCACAAGGCTCTGTCCCAAGGATTGGGGCCAGGTTCAGTCCCCTGGTCCCCTGTGGCAGAGCAGGGCAGGAAACACAGGAAGGGGCTCTTGTTTTTCAGGGGACCACGCGGAGCAATGCATTGTGTTGGGCAGGGGAAGGAGCAGTGCTGCACAGGAGAAGGATGTCTTTCCACTCCCCTCCCAGCTCAGGGAAGGCTATTTTTAAACTCAGCAGCAGCAGCTGGTGTTTCTTGTGGGCTCGAGTTGCTCTGTCCTTCACTGCAGGATGCCTCAGCCCCACTGCAACCCTCAGCCATTTGGGGGCTCTGGGAGCACACCTCAGTGCCTGGCCTGGGGGAGAAGTGAAGGCTGCAAGCGTTCTCATTCCCCCTATGCTTTGCTGGGTTGCTCTGCAAGCAGCTCTCTCCTCTGTCTGTCTCGGCCAAGGTCGTGGTGGGGCTGGGAGCTGCCAGTGGGTGAGTGCTGGAAATAGGGCGCTTCCTGTGCCGCGAATGACTTCCGAAGGCAAACAATTGGGGCCGTCGGCCCTTATCGCTGCCTGCTGCTGATTCCTGCAGGTGGAGCAGAGCCCTCGGCTCTGCAGGAGAGGGGCTTTGGGAGGGGAACTTAGGGAGCATCCTGGAACTGTATCCATGCTGTTCAGATGCTCCTCTTGGGGATGCTGTAAAGTTCACGGTGCTTTTTTTTCTCCCCATCTCTAGCAAACTGCGGCACCAGGCACAGAGTGAGAGATTCGGGTACAAGGAGGTAAGGCTGATGGCTGTTTTCTGCAGATGCCTCTAGAGATGTGGGGGTCGATGTAGGAGGTGGGAGCAGCTGGTTGGGATGCAGCAGGGTGTGATGGTTCTTGTCCCCAGCTTACCCACCAACACATTGGGCACACAGCTGCAGTGCCCAGCTCAACCTGCCCCTGCCTGGCTCATTTCAGTGAAGCTTAAGGGCTGGGTCTGTCCCACAGGAGCCTGGAGCCCCATTTGAGGTGGCTGATGAGCACATGGGCACCGTTTGTCCCACAGCTTGGACTTTTCCCAGCTCCATGCTTGCTTCATAGAAACCTACCACTGGATCAGTCCCCAGCTGCTCCTGATACTCATCTGCTGTCTCCTTCCCAGGTGGTTTTGAAAGGCGATGCCCGGAGGCTGAATGTGCATGGGGTGAGTATGGTGCATTCATCACAGCTCCATCCTTTGGTCTCACGTGGGGCTCCTGAGGTTTTATGGTGACAGAGTTGGACAGGGATGTGTCAGCATCAGGCTGGAATCAATAGTTCTGGGTTGAAAATCAGGAAGCAAAACCCTTCCTTGAGCAGCGTGGGGCTGGGAATACCTGGGGAGAGGCATTCCAGCAGCAGGGCTTCCCCAGCCACAGCATTTCTAGCAGGGGCTGTGCATGGACATCACTTTGGGTTCCATGTATTCTTGCTCACCCTCACCTCTTTCTCACCCCCTGCAGCAGACCTGTGCAGTCTGTCTGGAGGACTTCAAGGTGAAGGAGGAGCTGGGGGTGCTGCCGTGCCAGCACGCCTTCCACCGAAAGTGAGTACAGGTGTGTGGGCAGCAGGGGATTCCTTTCTGAGGATTTACATCCTCCCACGTCTCTGCTCCGCAGGTGCCTGGTGAAGTGGCTGGAAGTGCGCTGCGTGTGCCCCATGTGCAACAAACCAATGGCAGGTCCAGCCCAGCCCCACGCCAGCATCGGCACTCTGCTGGATGAAATGGTGTGAGCGGCCCCGCCGGTTTTCGCAGGAAAATGAAAGCTTAATCTTGAAGGATTTGGGGTTTGTGAGCTGGGCTTTGGCTCACGGTGCGTCGCTTTGTTTTGGGGAGGGGGGGAGGGGGTGTTTGTTTGTACCCCAATGTGCTCTGCAGGGAGCGCCTGGGTGGAGCTGAGTTGCTCCGTGCTCAGAGCTTTCTGTACCCCAACCCTCCGGACTCTCAGCCTCCCCCCCTTTTGGGGGAGAAATGTACAGGTTTGCGTAAAACAGATTAAACGGATGTTTGTCAGTCGGGCTGAAATGCGAGTATGAAATGCGGGGCAGAAAACAGCCGGGCTGCGCAATAACATTGAAGCGCCCTAAATTACCCTGAAAACGGGAAAACCCAGCCGCGAACAGAACCCAAAACCGACACGAAGTTCGTTATTTTCGTTCTCGTAATTAAAACCTGCAACGAAACACATCTACTGATTCGTCAAACTGCTGATTCGTCAGCGCGACCCTCCGGCGCTCAGAAGGGGCTGTGCACGTCGTAACAGAAGGGCGCACACGTCACGCAGCCGCGTGCCACTCCCATTCATCATTCGCTATGAACCGGAAGGATCAGAAACGCCCTCCTCCGCGCCCGCCCGTACTGCCGCGCACCTCACCCGTAGCTCACGGCGAGGCGACCTCTTTTCGTTGTTCCTGTTGTCTTTTGCACCTCTCGTCCTCCGCCTACGGACGCAGCTCAATTCGGCTCTTATCGCCTTTCTACGCGTCTTCGGGTGTGCATGATAACTCCGCACAGGGAGTTATTAGCTATGCTAATTTATTCGCGCAGCGCCACGCCCACTTCGCCATTTACAGCACAATCTGATTTTACGACAGCGGGGGAATCTGGTTTTACGACAGCAGCGCGCTTTGTGGTCGTGGTGCGGTTTACGGCAGCGTGAAGGCAGCTGCTGTTCGCTGTGAGGCGCTGCGGGGCTTTCGGAGCGGCGTAGGTCGCGCGGTGCCATGGAGCCTCAGCCGCCTGCTGAGCAGGTGCTCCGGCAGCTCGGCCAGCTCCTCTCCCAGCGGCCCGGTGTGATCACGGAGCTGGGGGCGTTGCTGGAGGCCGCGGAGCCGCGGTGGCTGTTCGGGGCTGGGAGCCCCGCCGCGCTGGGTGAATTGGCGGCCGCGCTGAGCGCCTTCGCGGCCCTCCCGGAGCGCGAGCAGGACGCGGTTGAGCTCCGCGACGGGGACGGCGCCTACGCGGCCGCAGCTGAGAGAGCAGCCGATGTCGGCGTTGTGTTCCTGCAGCTCCTCGCTAAGCTAGAGGCTGCCAAGGCCGAGGAGTCGCTGGGGCCCGCCGTGGAGCCGGTCCTGCGGCGTGTGATGGGGCACATGTACGTGCTGGCGGTGACGCACATCGAGGAGGCCGCCTGGACCGGCTCCAGGTCCCGCGCTGTGGCCACGGAGCTGCTGGGGGCTCTGGTGCGGGCCTCGGGCTGCGGGACTGTGGCGGAGCTCCTTCGGGGGAGGAAGGAAGAGGAGGAAGGAGGATTCGCGGCGGTGATGAGGCTGCTGAGGCCGCGGCTGGGCAAGTGAGTGGGAGGAGCGGGTCCTGGGTGGAAAACGTGGGGAGATTTGGTGTGTGACTTCATGCAGGGTGAGCTCACGTTAGGAGGAGGGTCACAGAAATGATCCGAGGGATGGAACGGCCTCCCTGTGAGGGCAGGCTGAGGGGTGTGCGGCCTCAGGAAGAGGAGGCTCTGGGGAGACTTCAAAGCAGCCTTTCAGTATCTAAAGGAGCAGACTCCTTAGTAGGGTCTGTTGTGATAGAACAAGGGGAAACGGTTTCATACTAAAAGAGGGGAGATTTGGGCTCAATATAAGGAAAAAGTTTATTGCAACTTCCAACTCAAACTATTCAATGATTCTCTGGGCTCCTGTTTGTATTCCTAGAGACACCTGGAAGCGCAACCCAGCCACCAAGCACGTCTTCTCCTGGACACTGCTGCACATCACCCGGCCATGGCTCAGCCAGCACCTGGAGCGCGTCCTCCCCGCATCGCTGCTCATCTCGGATGACTTTCGGGAGGAGAACAAAGTCCTGGGTGTGCACTGTCTGCACCACATCGTTCTCAATGTGGTAAGGGGAAGTTGGATCTCCTCCTGGCTGTTGTTTGAAGGAAGGGTGGTTTTGGATACCTGTCAGGTTTCCAAAATTTTTGTTCATGGTTATTCTGTTAACCTTGTAATTTTCCCCCTTGCTCCATGCTGTCTCTTTTTAAGCTTGTATTTCTCCTATCTGTTGCAGCAAGCAAAGATTTCCTTTGCCATATTTTGAATTCAGATGATGCATGCATCAACCTAACAATAATTTACAGGACAGGGTATTAAATTAATGCCAAAGGAACTGCTAAGCAGCAGCTGGGGAGGCAAGGGAAAGTGGCTGCTCCTGTGCATGGCAAGGTTCAAGCTGCATTTGCTATGGCACCTGGTCCCACTTTCTTGTAAGCAATGTTCCTGAGTGCTGTTTTCACAAAGCCTAGGTTTGTGAATACTTCCCCTCTGAGTAGGTTAAGTGAGCGCAGAAGGTGATGCTTGGGAATAATGTTGTGTGCTCTCTTTCAGCCAGGTGCTGATCTGTGCCAGTTCAACAGGGCTCAGGTTGTGTACCATGCCCTTTACAATCACCTCTACTCACGAGAGGCTCCTCTCATCCAGGTAAGATAGCAGAACTTAATTTTAATTTGCCTTATGTTGTTGCATATCAGCCCTACGTGGGGTAGGCAGCTAAAAGCATGAGGAGGCAGAACCTGTTTGCTCACAGTTCAGGTTGTTAACAGCAGGTATTTGCATCCAGGGGACAAAGTAACTCAGCAGATTTCAGGAACAATGTCAAAGGTGGCGGCAGCCTTGCTGAAGTGGCCAGCCAGGGGGGAAGCAGGCAGAAAGTGTATGGGGGCTGCAGCTGTAGGGGCTGGAAACTGCGTGTAATTTATGTCAGAGGGACTGCACAGGTTTCCCATCCTGCACCAGGCAGTACTGCTGTGCCTGCTGGACTTGCTGCCTGTCCTGGAAAGAGCGCAGCGGCAGCGGCAGCAACCCAGGCCAACCTCACCCTGTGATGAGGTGTTGCAGCTGGTTCTGACCCACATGGAGCCAGAGCATCGGCTCGCACTGCGGCGAGTGTATGCCAAAACCCTGCCTGCCTTTGTGCAGAGGTGAGAGCAGCAACCACAACCCTGCAGGACCTTGTTTTGTCCCTGGTATACATCTCCCTCCTCAGTGCGTGCTCTGTGTTGACAGACTTGGCATCCTGATAGCACGGCACCTGAAGAGGCTAGAGAGGGTTATCCTGGGTTACCTGGAAGTCTCTGATGGCCCTGAGGAAGAAGCCAGACTGGGAATACTGGAGACACTGCAGTGCACCATAGAGCATGCTTGGCCCAGGTACTGGTCTGGGGTGAAGGATGCTGCAGAAAGCATCTCCTGAATGGATATTGGCCCTTTCAGAGCTACACATAGTGTTATCTGAGGCAGAGACCTTGAAACCTGGAGGGAAGCTTCTCACAGGGAGCAATTACTAGCACAACTGCATTCCTGAAAAACCCTGCCCAAAAGTTAAATCTTTATTTTTTTTTTTTATCTTTTTCCTGCTCTAAAAGTGTAACCTTGCCTAAAAAGTCAATCTATGCGCTCTGTTTGGCAGAGTTGTGGAGCAAGTCCTGTACTATTAAAGTTACCTCTGTGTTCAGGGCCTGTGTCTTTCCTCTGGTGGGCATTCCTTCAGCCTCATCACTGAAGCATTTGTTTCCTGTAATCCAGATTTACGTGTAAATAGCCACTAACAACTTCTGCTTGGAACTGCAAAGCAAGGCTGTTCTTTTGCCTGGCTCACAAAGAGGTTTTATATTAAGGCATGCACACTCTTTCCTTTCTCAGAATGCCATGCAGGCTCCCTGTGCTGCTCAAAGCCCTACTGAAGATGATCTGGGATGTCCACACTGACCAGGGCTCAACACCAGAGCCAGTGAGAGCTGCCTTGCTCCAGAGAGCCACCGAGTGCCTCATCCTGCTGGATCGGTGCTCTGAAGGACAAGTGAAGGTGAGCTGGGGACCCAGCAATAATTTCTCTCTGCTCTTCCCCCTTAAACAAACAAACAAAACAACATGGTGCATGCAAGAGCCCATTTGTTTCTTAAATCCAACAGTATTTCCACCCACCCTGTCAGTACTTGGCTTAATTGATAGAGGACCTGATATATAGCAATGGATTTTGTATTGATCTCAAGGGCATCTGAGCACAGCTGATTGCACCATACATCTCAGCGTGCCAGGGCAATGGAAGCTGATGCTTTTCCTGTTTCAGATTCTGCTGGAAGGCGTGTACAGCTGTTGTGAGGAGAACCGTGTGCGGGAATGCATCAGGAGAGTGCAAGAGAACACGTGAGGCAAGACAAGGTTCATTCTGCTTTTTGTACAGTAAAATATTTTTTTTTATTTAAGTTACTTTGTCCTCCTCTTTTGTCTCACACCTCCCTCAAACAAGGTTTGCTTCAGTGCTCTCCTAGCCCCAAGCAGGCTTCTCCAGCTTGAGAACAAAGCAGCATTGTCTCCAGTCCAGGTTCTTTTGTGGAGCAGTCCTTGCTGAGCCTCACGTGGTTGTACAGAAGTTGGGGTCTTAAAACTACACTTTATACAACAGTTGTACAGACTTGCTGCGATCGCCTGGGCTCAGGACAGAAATCCTCATCTCCTTTTAAAAAAAAAAAATTATTAAGCTACAATATTGAAAAAGCAATTTTTGATAATCCTGTTTGAAGTGGTGAAAGCTGCAGTAGTTCTAATGGACACATCTGGTGTTGTCATTCAGCAAAAAAATGCAAGTTCAGGAGAGTCAGGACACTTTTGTTTTGGTGGCTGGCTCTGTTTCTTCCTCATACTCTATTTCAATGTAAGGGCGTTTTCTTCTGGTTGGTCCTTTCAAAGGAGTTTTCCCCTTAGATGTGGAGCGAGATGCTTTCTTCTCTGTTTCTTCCTCATCTTCCTGCTCCTCTTCACTACTTGTCTCTAACTTATCCATGTCCTGAGGAAGGAAAAGAATCAGAGCACACTGTACAACTAAGCCTCCCCTTCCTGCAAAATTATCTTGTGTATCCAATTCCATTTTATAATTCCTGGCTCCCAGCTGTCTAGCCAGAGCAACTAGGCCATGGTGGACACTGTGCAGTCCTCCAACTGAATCATTATATCCCACAAATGTGATTTACTGGCTCTTATCCCATCACCAGAGCCCCCAGGCGGGCAGAGATTACTTTCAAGCAGTTTAGCTTGACAGTTTATCCCTGCTGCTTCGCTTACCTCAAAGTCGCTGAGGTCACTGTCATCTGCTTCCACAAACTCTCTTTTATCTTTGTCCTGTAGGAAACAAAGTCAGAAATAGGCTGAGAAATACCCCATCACAATTCACAGTGTAGCAGCCAAAAAGACCATGACCTGCCCATGTTTTTTTCTGTATTCACCTCTCCTGATCTGTTCCCCTCCCTTGGCACTAACACTGAACACTCAGTCTGCAAGTGAATTAGAGCTGTTGCATCTCAAGGGAGGGTTAGCTGTGATGCTCTGGTTGAAAGCATTACCTCATCATCATCTTCTTCCTTTTCCATGTCAGACTCGCTCTCACTTTCTGCATCCTGCTGTTGTAGGGCTTTGTCAAAGGCATGAATGGGGAAGTTGTAAATGTCTCCATACTGAAAAGAAAACAACAACAACAAAAAATACTTTCTATAAGTCCAGGGAGAAGCAGGCATTGGTAGCAGAGTCATCTGAGGCCTGTACAGTTATACCACAGCAGGCTGAAATAGGCATTCCTGAAGAATGAGGAGCTCAGCATCTTGGGAAAGGACTGAGGCAGTAGAAGCAGTTATACTGCTGTGTTCTGAAGGCAGTGACTCTTACCGTGTCCTGCTTCAGTCTCTCCAGCAATTCCTTCTCAATGGCATTATCTAGCTGAGCAGCAATCAGGGCTTTCTCCTAAGAGAGAAAAAAAGGACCTGTGTCAGTTCTCTCAAAGGCATGAGAAACAGAAGCAAGACAGGAGATGACAAGAGTCATTACCTCTCTCCTCTTCTCTCGCCTTTCAATCTTTCTACTTAATGGAACGATCTTCCTCCTGCAGGGAACAAGAGCTGCTTAATGAACCTTTCAGCCTCTTGTGTAGCAGATGGGCAAATGCTTGCTCAGAACAACAACCAGCAGCTGCATCATTAGAAATGCGGGTGTAACGAGTTTAGGTGCATCTATCTATGCATATTAAGATGCTGTTACATCAGTTTAAAGCTGGTTCACTTAGAAGCTGGCCAAAGCCAGCAGGAAAGCAGCACACACTGCAGGTGCAGTGGAGCCAGGAAAGGGCTCTGCACACAGCCTGTGGCAGCAGCTCAGTGCACAGGCAACAGCCTTAAGTCAAACCAACACAATCACTCTGGGTGTCACTTACTGTCTCTTTAGAGTCAGCTTCCGGATGCGGATGAGGTACTGGGTGATCTTGGTGAACCGCTGCTTGCATTTGTGTCGGATGAACCGTGGCCAGTAGATGAGATTCTCATCTATCTCCTCCAGTGCTTTCTCATAGTTCTTGCTCAGCAGGACCTGGGGAAAAGGGGAAGGGTGGAGCGAAGGGGACTTGGAAGGAGCTCGACTGCCCCCCGCCTGTAGGTACATGATGGTGGAATGTGCTTGGTTAGCAGTCTGCTCTCATCAACTCACCCGCTCCCACAGCCGACGGGGAAACGGAGCGCGCTCTATGGTCTTCATGTACAGGTAACATCGGCCTATAGAGAAGAACATGACCCCCACTGAGACCTGAGCATGGAGTGGGGCACAGAGCCAGGCCCCCAGGTTGCTCCCACAGGCCAAAGGCTGTGAGCAGAGGCTGTCCCAGCACTCACCCTTCTCCTCACGGATGGTTGCATACTGACTGTTGGCCAGCGGGCAGGAGGAGCGGTTACACAGCCCAGTCAGGTTGTATTCATTGCGACAGAAGCTCTGGGTTTTGGTCCTGGAAGAGAGAGCTGTAAGATGGAGCTGTGCATTGCCTGGGCTCGCTACCCCTACATGCACACACACTCACCTGATCTTGTAGGAGCAGAACTGCTTGTTTCCGAGCGTGTCCCAGACAATCTGCAGGGACAAACCACAGGTCAGCAAGCACCCTAGGACCCCGTAACCCCTCCAATCCCCGGAGCAAGCAAGGCTGTAACAGAGGGGACCCACACTGCAGGGAGAAGATGCAGCATAACCAAATCCCCTTTACGTTGCCCCAGCTCCTGCCTCTCGATCCAGCCGCCTCCACGTGTTATTTTCCCGCGGACGGGAGGGACTGCCTGAGCCGGACGAACCGACCCAGCCCCAGGCTAGCCGCTAATTATCTGCGGCGGGGGCGGATAAAACGGAACCGAACCGCGCGGCGGACTCACATCATCCGAGTGCATGGCGGCGCCGAACCGCGCGGCCTAGAGCGCCGCCATCACCGGAAGGGGGCGGGGCATCCGGGAAGAGAGAGTCTCGCGTGAGTGTCGCGAGGCTTTTTGCGAGGGTCTCGCGAGAGTTGCGGGGTGTCATGGAGGCGGTGTGAGGCGCGTTGCTGGGCTGCGGGAAGCGCTGCGCGGTGTGGTTCCGTCAGCTGGTGGCTGGGATGTTGCAAAAATGGACGTTAAATGGAGCTACTCGTTGCGATTGGTTGGGATCGCAGGCGTCCCGTGACCTCATCTCAGCTAAAGGCGTCTGCGGTAACGCTCTGTCACTGTAATCACAGGTGAACTCAGTGACTGAAGCAGCGTCTAAAGGTTTAAAACTTTCAGCCTTATATTTAAGTGAATTTCTCAAGAGTTCTTCACGAATGGTAGAAGGGCAGTACAAGCAGCCCTTACGTGAATAGCACGTAAATAGAAAGCACAGTCTGTACCGAGACAACAAGGAACTTTTACTGCCTTCAAGTGAGCATGGAGCACATGAACAGGACAGAGCTGTCTTTATTGGATCCTGCTGATACAGAAAGGTTTTGTGCTGGGGATTACAGCAGAACTATGGAGGAAGGGATGTCCTGAAGCTGCTGACTTCATTTTGGTTTTCTCTGGTGCTTTTCTTCCAAAAGTAATAAGCACTTAAAAGACATTAACGAATGCAACTCGTGTGGGAGAGGTGTTGGTCTTATCCCTGTTGTGTGGGCTGGCAGCCCAGGACAGCACGGCATTATTCTCTACATTGTATGTTTTTTACATCTGAGGTGGATTTTGAGTGATCTTCCTGGATGTCACCCAGCAAAGGGGTGGCAGAGTTGGGCAGGAAGCCTCCAAGTGCATTCCCTGATGTAGATTGAGTGCCAGGAGAACAGCTGAACGTTCAGCCCATGTCCGTCCTGTGCCTACAGGTCTTGGGTTATTCCTGGGTGCTGAGAGATACATTGCTCTGTGAACTTAACATAGCTTCAAGCAAGACATGCAGCCTTGCTGCTATTCCACATTTTCTGCCTCCACATCACTGTTGTCTGGGAGAGGGAAATCCCGCAGTGGCTTCTGAGCGGTGGAGCTTTTGGTTTGCATGGGGCATTCCTGGCTTAAAATTGCCTACATAAAGGAGAGAAGCGATGTTTTAGTAAAAGTGGCCATTAATTTTAATAATAAATGGAAGCGTTACTAGCTTTAGAGAAAGCCCAGGGAATACAAGCTGTGAAGTAGGAGGATCCAGTCCCTGGCTAATTTATCCTAATTCCTTCCACATATCTCTGGATTATCAAGCTCCTATACTTTAGGGCAGTAAAGTACACTCACTATCTTCTCCTCTTTAGCAGGAGGGCTTCTCAAGAACCAGCAGAGAGGAGCATAAACAATGTTGGTAACTCCAATGATGACCATCAGCCAGGGAAACCCAATAGCTCGTACAATCGCACCGCCTGTTGAGGGACCTGCACATTTAAATATGAACAAAGGCTCAGGAGGCAGGAAAAGAGCAAAAGGTGCTCTTCCACTTTGGAAGGGATCTAAAGCCTGCAATGGCTGTGCTACAGACTCAGTGCCAGTTGCTGCCATTGGACACTGGATGGAGGAAAGCATTGAGAACAACACCCCACGGGTCCATACCAATTGCAAAGCCCATGCAGAAGGCAACATCTGCAATGGCATAGACATTGCCATAGACAGAGGTGTGGCGAAGGTCCACGAGGTAACCCATAATAGGCATCATGGAGGAGTCCACCATTCCTGCTTGGAGCAAGCATGAGATCATGAGGTATTTTTCTCAGGGCAGTGCTGGGAATCGTACAGACTGACCACTTACCTATGGCGAAGCCAAGCCCACCATTTGGGCCAATCAGCCCATAAATATTTTTTGCCAGGGGCACCTTAGAGAGGAAAGAGAGAAGGTGTGAATGAGGCCAGAAGAGCTTCAAGGTGAGGAGGCACAGCATAGTTCTGTGGAACAGATCTGTGGTGCAATCCCTGAGCAGGTCTTAGAGCTGCCCTGAGGTACTCACACAGAGCAGACTGATCCCCACCACAGCCATGCCAATCAGGGAGCATAGCCACCTGCAACAAGGGCAGCAGAGGGTGATTCCTTCAGTGTGTGCAAGCAGGATCTTTGCTGAGGCTACTGCTATTCGCTTACCGGCCTATTTTATTAGCCAGGAGCCCAAAGAGATTGGTGCCAATGAGGTAAGATATGCTGGCCGGAAGGAATGCCATCCCTAGGGGAGAGAATAAGAGAGAGTGTGCAATCTCTCTGCAAATGCAGAGATCCAGCACACACAGAAGGTGTCTCTAGGCTCTATGTTGCTACTCCTTGTCCTCTGTCAAAGCCCCATTGCTCCTCTGTGAAGGCAGAGAGAGGCACAGAAAGTGAGTTTTCTTTCTGCAGGGTGAGAAACTGCAGATTTGAACCAACTGCAGAGCTTTCTGTGCCCATCCTTCTCTGCTGTCATCACTTCCTCCTTGTCCATCTTTCTCCCCTTGCCTTCTGCTTTTGGCTAAATAAAGAGGGATAAAACAGCTGCTTGAATGTAAAGCTTAGCAATCGTTATGAGTCAAAAGTCAATATTTGAACTGCTTGCTGATTTACCAGTTGTTTATTTTTAATATACTCTCCTGCTGACTTTAGATAAAATGCATCAGCTATATTTCACTGAGACAACTTCCCCGTTGAGACACACAGAATTGTATTTAACTTCCTTTCTCCTTGTTGACAGCCACAGAACTGTTCATTCTGCAGGTTTAGTCCAAGCTCTTCTGTTTTATTTATTCATTTTCCTCAGAATTATGGAAGTGGGCAAACGAAATCATACAAGTAATGAAGTTATTTGTGTTTATGAGAGGTTTTTTGGTAGAGGGCTTTGGTTGAAGTGTATCTAAATGCAGTCCACTCCCAAATCTTGAGTACAGTGCGTCTGAGGGTTTCTTGCTGCCAGCTTACTGCTCTCTCCCCATTTCTGGGTAACTTCAAAAATCCCTTTGATTTCAACAGTGACCAGAGCAGCTCTGAGTGCCCTGAGGTGCTTCCTTACATTCACCCACCTGTGTTCAATCACACAAATCACCCTGAGCTCTTACTGGGACGGATGCTGCTGCCTGACCAGGGAATAACTTGATTAGGAGGGTTATCTCAGCACTGCTGCTTCCAGATGGCAATTCAGTTTGGGTTCTAAGTGTTGCCTGGGGTGTCCCCCAGGTTATTTCCCAGCCAACTGGATTTTAGAACAATTAGTTTTTGTTTTTTATAGGACAGTGCTATCTCCATATCACATTTTCAAGGCAGCTGGTAGTTAGCACACACCATCTCTAAATGGCTGTGTTCTACTGAGAGCTGCCTCTGCAAAACCCAGCTGGCTGCTATGACTTCAGCCCAGCATGACACTGATCTACTCAGCCTTTCTTCCACCATTATTGCTGTGGTAGAGAGACTGATTCTATACCATTTTTTCAATAATAGTGAAAAGCACGTTGTATAGCTACCACCAAGGACATTTCCAAATGAAATTGGAGCAGCACACAGCCTGGCATCGCTCTGTGGGAATATGTTTTCTTCCTTTTAAGATGGTATTAGAGATATTCAGCCCATCCCGCAGTGCCCAGCAGGACCTGCTCTGACCAAACTGCATCAATCTGCTGCTGAGGAGTGAGGACTGCAAAGTGAAGCACCTACCAAGCTGCCATTTGGGGGAGCACATGGTTTGCATCATCCAGATGGGCAAGGTGGGCTCGAGCATGGCCACCCCCATGTTGGAGAAGCAGAGGGCTCCTGGTGGGGAGAAAATGGAAAAATATCTGTTTAAGGCTTCTTTTGCTGCTGTTTTGAATAGAAATAAGGAAATGGGGCAATGTGGGAATGCAGAGGTTACCTGCAGCCACCAGCACGTAGGGGTCCCGCAGCAGGGTGAGCACTGGTGTGCCTCTGGTGCTCTGATTGAGATGGGGGCTTAGGGAGCTGCAGGTGGGGGTCCGAGCCACCCCTCACCTGCAGCATCTGCCCCAGCACTGTGCCCATGCTCACCTCAGGGGAGACCTTGGAGGGCTGCAGAATGCAAAGCTGCAAACCTGGTGGGGGAAAGGGGGGTGGAGGGTAACAGTGCTGTTAGTATTGCTCCAAGCTAAATTTCCCTGTGGTTTTCCTTCAGAGGGGCATCAATCGTTGGCTGAGCCCCAATGCTTTTGGGGCGTCATCCAGGGAGCTGTCAGCTGGGGGATTTCAAATGGGGCATAGCCAAAATGAGACATGGAAAAGAATGGGATGAAAAAAACAACCTTCAAGCATAGGGAACCTACATTTCACTTTCCAAAATCTCTTACATGCTCCATTAAAGATGTCTTACATTACATCTAGGCAAAGATGGTAACTGTGACTGTAATTTAATTAGCTTAATACTTCCCACTAAAAATGTGTGTTTCTGCTATCTGTAATTCTGAATGCTGTCGTGGCCTGAATCTGTAACGCAGCTACAGAGAGAGAATAGGGATTGCCATTCATGGGCAACATCCCATTTCTTTGTATTATGATGAAGATGCTGCAGGCAGCACCACGTGTGCCTTCTGCAGAGAAATTCTGTTCAGAGAGCTTGACTGATGTGCTATTTGAGCCATTAAAGCAATCAAGGGGGTCATTAAGTAATGAGGGACTAATTCTTACTGTATTGCTATGTCACACGTCTGGTGGTGGGAAGCATATGGTTTAGCAATAACAGAGTAACTGATGCTGTATTAATTGTGAGAGCTCTGAGAAGTTCTTTCTGAGATGGCTGCATTTCACTCTTTTCATGTCCTCTGGTTTAATGGTTGGGTGAGTTGTTTGCTTTTGGATTGGGTAAACTACGTGGTCCCTCACCTCCATCCAGCAGGGCTAAGAATGCCAGGACCAGGAAGGGGGAGGCTTTCCCCACAAACTCGTACATCACGCTGCCAAATGGGGCCCCGACTGCAAGGGAAAGGCTGTGTCACCATGCAGCAGGCAACTGGCTTTAGCCCAAACCCACGTCTAATGATGGACTGTATTGGTGGAGCTGCTGGAAATGGATGGGGAGCAGAGACTGGGACCCCCCACCCCAGGGCTGCTCAGCAGCACCAAGCAGCAAAGCATGGGGATACTGTGGGTGTAAAACCCCCGGCAGCCACAGGTCCTTACTCAGCACACCCAAGGCCAACCCTCCAAGAGCGATGCCCATGGCGTTGCCTCTCTCGAAGTCATCTGTGTAGATGCTGGCCAGCATGCCCAAGCCTGGGAGCAGAGAGAATCGAAAGTGATGACTGAACCCAGCTGGCATAGGGCTTCACAGCATGCAGTGACCCAACACGCTCACCTGCAACTGATGAGAAGGAGGAACCAACGCCTTGCAGAGCACGAGCGATGAACAGCAGCGTGTAGGTGCCAGAAAATGCAAACACTGCAGGAGGAGAAACACAGTGCCCAGCAGAGCTGCACATCTAAAACCCTGTTAAGGTGCAGCAGCAACCACTTGTGCCCAGGTGAGTCCTTCCCTGTCCCCAGCATCTCATGCACAGGGACAGAGCAGGTGGTTGTCTCCTTTGCTGCTTTCATTTTAGGACATCCTGCTGTGTGTGGAGGGCAAATCAGGGGTGGTACTCACTGAGCGTGGAGAGAAACATGATGACGAAACCAATGAACATGGGAATGTGGTATCCTATCCTGGAATGAGAGAAAAATATGTCTGGTAGAGCTATGCCTATGTGCATTGAAATGTTCTGATGTGATGTCGAACAACAGGTGAGGCTTATTTTATAATGCAAGCTTGCAAACCATTTGTAGGCTCTTCAAAAAGGCAAAATTCATTCCTATTGTGATGCTTGCACTCTTCTCCTTGCTATTCTCTCACCAGATCCCATCATTATGTGACTGCAGATCTTTGCCACTTGACTAGAACGCAGTAGATTGCAGACGTACCTGTTGGTCAGCAGCCCCACACTGGGGTTGACCAGAAGCTGGACGAGAGCCTTGGAGGCAAAGAGCAGCCCAACACGCATGTTCTCCTGCGTGAGGAATTCCTCACCCTGTGGGCAGTCATTGGGTGATGGGGAGCTCATAGGGGGATGCTGTGGGTGCCTGGCGCTGGTCCCTGTCTGCAGCTCCATAGTTCTGGGGGAGCCCAAGGTCATCGTGGTGCTGGTGTCAAAATAGGAGGACATGGGGGAGAAAGGAGGATCTTCGATGGCTGAGGGAGGTGACTCGGGTTGATGCAGGGCAGCAGAGCTGTTGGCACCTTCATATTCTATTGTATAAAGGAAGGTGGGGATGATAGGCACTGGGAAAAAAGCCAAAGAGAGTGTTCATCAGTGGGTTTGCTTGAATTTGTGGCTCAGCATGCATATGAACTGGATGGTGCTAGCACGGTGTCGATGCTTGGACGCTCCTTCACCCATCCTTCCCCACGCCTGTCCCCATTGCTGTCTCATTGCCTGTCCCCATTGCTCTTACCTTGCCTGTCCCCACACCCATCCCCATGTCTGTCCCCAGCACGTGCTGACAGCTTTCTGCAGCCATCCCTGCAGCTCACGCCCTACCCACAACAGTCAGCAGCATGTTGTCCAGCAGCAGTGCGACGAACACCACCACCAGTGCCAGCCTCCGTGATGCCCGGCCCCGTGCCAGCCAGCTCTGGGACGTGGGGATGGCTGCTGGGAGCATTGCTGGGGCTTGGTCCCCTGGCTCTACTGTCAGGGCCAGCGATGTCCTGCAACCTTGGGAGAAGATGCTGTGGGTTAGCACTTCGCTCAGGTTCATGACTTCTTCTTATCCCCTACGTGAGCTGGGTGCCGTTCTGAGAAGCAGAGAGTTCCAGTTTTGCTCTCAAAGACTCCACTTTTATCCAGCTCACGTTTAATGCTGCAGTCAAGAGATGGAGGCTCCCCAGCCTTTTCCATTCTCTTGAGACATCTTGTCCCTACTGCAAACATCATCTCAGTCTTCCTTAGAAGACTCAAAGCATAAATCAAGCTGGTAGCTTATCTATACTAATCTCTACATCTTGTATTCCATGTTTGTTCTTTGGAGATTAAATTGGATCTCAAAGGAAATTTATTTCACTTTGCATGTCTTTTCATTTGACCTAATAGAAATGTCACAGCAACATGCAGGACTTAAAAGCCTAACGTACAGGATTAAGGTTGGGACTTGTTCAGTTATACTGAAATATCCATCAGAAGTCTGTACTGAGCCAACTTATCAGTTAGCATTTGGGTTCCTATAGCTTGTGGCTGCTTCAGCAGTAAAGCAGCAACATGAGCAGAGTGTGAGCTACAGCTGCCTCCAACACTCCTGTGGTTTCCTGACATCCCAGGCAATGACATTTATCATTTTATTCCTGAAGAAAAGAGCAAAACCTCCAAACCCTCTATCATCTGATGTGAGTACCATGCAAGTCACTAACTTGAAAAAGAGAGCGGGCTTCTCATCATCCCCAAGTACCTCCAAGCAATAGCAAGGACCAAATAATATAACTAATGCAAGAAAATAGATATATTTATGTATAAATCACCAGGAAGAAGAAGTAAAGAAGCAAGGAAAATAGAGACAAGTAGGCTGAAGCTGCTCTGAATCTCAAGACCAAACCCCATCCCTCTCAGTGCAAACCTGTTGCACGTAGCACAGCGACAGAGCCCTTACCCCTGGACGCATCCCAGTGTGCAGAGCTGACAGCAGAGTGCTCGGAGCTGCTGCTCCCAGGGAATTTATTGCAGCTCTTATCAGGAGAGGCTATGAGCATCTGTCTCCCATGGAGATGTAGTTGCAGCCCTGCAGCTCCTCCTGCGTCAGAGCAGGACGGGGGGACGGGGGCTCCTTTCTGTGTGAGTCAGGATTTGATAGAATCATAGAATTGTTTGAGTTGAAAGGGATCTTTAAAGGCCATCTAGTCCAACCGCCCTGCAGTGAGCAGGGACACCCACAGCTCCATTAGGTGCTCAGAGCCCCATGCAGCCTGACTTTGGCTGTCTCCATTTTACACTGCTCTGGACAACCTGTTCCAGTGCTTCACCACCCTTATCATAAAAGAAACTTTTCCTTATATCTAATCTCTCTCCTCTTTTGGTTTGAAACTATTTCCTCTTGTCCTATCACAACAGACCCTGCTGAAGGGTCTGTCTGTCTGTCTGTCTCTTTGGCAAAGGCTGCACAGGGAGGTGGTGGGGTCACCATCCCTGGAAATGTTCAACAACTGTGCAGATGTGGCACTGAGGGATGTGCTTAGTGGGCATGATGGGATGGGTTGGGGTTGGACTTGATGATTTTAGTGTTCTTTTCCAACCTCAGCGATTCTTTTATTCTGTGGTTCCACGGTTCTGTGATTCTCTCTGCCATTGAAGCCATTTGCCTGGCTTCTGAGTGGCCAAAACCCTCTGAGTAACAAACACGAAGGCAGGAGCTGAAGTCTTTAAGTACATTTCATGAACTGAGAACTGAGCATGGAAATCACTTTCTGACCATCCGCAGAGCTCCGCTCCCACCTACCGGTGAGCTCAGACCCTCAGCCAGCACTGCTGGGAGCTCCAGCTCCTCTAGGGATGGCCATCACTGCCACCTCCTCATCCCCACAGAGGTCAGGGCACCATCCCTTCGACAGCCTAAAGAGACTGCAATGCCATCCATCTGCATTGGGAATGTTTGCTCATTTCTGCTTTGGAAGCATTTCCATTCATCCATCAGACTTTTTTTTTGTTTTTCCGTTGACTTCTTTTTAACCATTTTTTCCTTTTTTAACCCATTTTTTTTTTTTTAATTCATTTTTTAACCCACGACAACCAGTTCTCCTGGGGCAGCTGCAGTGAGTGCCCACTTCAGGTTTTCCATCGCTCTCACAGCCCCCAGCGCTTCGTTCCTCCTCCAAACACACACAGCTCTGCAGCGGCTCCAGGGAAACACATCTCCAGTATTTCAGTGTTAGCACAGGGAGAGATGGAACATGGTTTCTAGCATCAAATCCACCTTCCTGCTGAGCAGAGAGAGCAAACACCAGTGATTAAAATTTAACGTGTATGAGGAGAGAAATAATCCACGAGGAAACAGAAGTTGACACACTAATGGTTTCTTTGGGGGGCGGGGGCGAAAGGCAATTACAAATAACCCACTGGCTATTTTTTTAATTAAATTAAAGGTTTGATTTACTTTTTCCTCTTTCCTTTTTTTCCACCTTTATTCCCATTTCTTCTCTTTTTTTTCTTCCCCATTCCCCATTTCTTTTTCTCTTATTTTTCTTCTTTTTCCTTTTTTTTTTCCTTTTTTTTTTCCTTTTCCTTTTTTTCCCCTTTTTCTTTCTTCTTTTTTTTTTTCTTTTTCCTTTTTTTCTTTTTTTTCCTTTCTTTTTTTTCTTTTCTATTTTTCCATCTTCTTTTCTTTTCCTTTTTTTTTGTTCTTTTTTTTTTCATTTTTCTCCCTTTCTACCCCTATCCCTACCCCTATCCCTATCCCTACCTCTATCCCTATCCCTATCCCTATCCCTACCTCTATCCCTATCCCTATCCCTATCCCTATCCCTATCCCTATCCCTATCCCTATCCCTATCCCTATCCCTATCCCTATCCCTATCCCTATCCCTATCCCTATCCCTATCCCTATCCCTATCCCCACTCTCTCCACCTCCCCTTTTCCTCCCCCTATCCCTATCTGTATCCCTACCCCTATCCCTTCCCCTATCCTTACCCCTATCTTTACCCCTACCCCTACCCTACCCTACTCCTACCCCTACCCCTACCCCTACCCCTATCCCTTCCCCTATCCTTACCCCTATCTTTACCCCTACCCCTATCCCTACCCCTACCCCTACCCCTACCCCTATCCCTATCCCTATCACTATCCCTATCCCTATCCCTATCCCTATCCCTATCCCTATCCCTATCCCTATCCCTATCCCTATCCCTATCCCTATCCCTATCCCTATCCCTATCCCTATCCTTATCCTTATCCCTATCCCTATCCCCACCCTCCCTACCCCCCCGCAGCACCCTGGCCAGCTCCCTCCCCTCCCCTACGATCCCCCCGTGCGGGCGGGGCGCGGCGGCTCTATATCAGCGCATGCGCAGCAGACCTCCCAGCTGGAGCAGCGCACAAGATGGCGGCGGTAGCGGCGGTGCGGGGGATGATGAACGGCGCAGGGCCCGGCGGGGCGCGAGAGCAGGCGGCGGCCTTGACGAGGGATTTCCTGTCCCAGCCGCGCCTCAGTGAGTGCGGCCGGGAGCGGCTGCGGCGCATGAGGGGCTCGGGGTGGTGGAGAAATCTTTCCTGGCCGTTGAGCCGGAGCGGGGCCGTGGGTCGGGCGGTACCGTGCGTGGTCTGCGGTGGGGAGGGGGGAGAAGGGGTGAGGGGGGCTGAGGGGGCTGAGGGGGCTGAGGCTGTTGGGGGGGGGTGAGGAGGGGCCTTTCTTTCCCCTGCGTGGCTGCTGAATGTCACGAGCACTTTTCTGCTGCTTGATTTTGAACCACCTGGTGTGAAATACAAAGGAACCATCGCAATTCTTTCCCCTCCCTCAGTTCCCCCGCTCTTCCCCCCCCCTCGAGCATCTGCTCCTCTGCTGGACCCCAAGCCACGGCCTCAGGCAAGGCCGGCACCTCTGCAGATCCCAGTTTGTGTCTGCTGTCGCATTGCTGGATGTGAAAAACACTGCGTTTTGCTCGCTTTTGGGGTTGTCACGGCACAGGTCGGTGTCTGCACATGGGAGCTCTGAGTCTCTCAAGCTGCTTTTGAGGGGAATTGGTGCTTTTTGGTATCAAGGATGTCGTTTCCTCGTCGGTGGGGCCTGCCCTTCGCTGCTGATTGAGGAAGAAGCACTCACGAGGCGGTCATGGGATGGGCTGTGTTGCTCAAGGGAACCTTTTCCATTCCTGCAGCCCTCACTGAGAGCCCTCTGCCAATCCCAGGCCCACAGAATGGCCCGGGTTGGAAGGGACCTCAAGGATCATGAATCTCCAACACCCCTGCCACATGCAGGGCTGCCAACCTCCACATTTAATACCAGACCAGGCTGCCCAGGGCCCCATCCAACCTGGCCTTGAACACCTCTAGGGATGGGGCATCGGGCCACACAGGTGACAGAGCCTTGTGTGCTGCTGACAGCCATTTCCTGCCATATATATAATTTCCTGCCAAAAATATCTGATGGTATTTGGCTGGATTTTGATAACTGAGACAGCGGGAGTTCCTCCTGAGACCGCTTTGCACCTCCACCTCATGCTTTATCTAATGCAGCCTTGATTGTTGCTGCTAAGCGATTATATTGCAACAGTTTAAAGTTGCTCTTTGTTGACAGTATACAATGCGAACTGTGTGTGCCAAACTGAACAGCTTCTCACTGTGCCCCAGCCAGGTGATTACCTGTAGCTCCCCGCTGGTGAGGTTTGTGCCCTTTTCCTCTGCCTTACAGCATGCCAGCAGTAAGAGCTGCTCTTTTCTGCTCTGCAAATGGCTCCACTGCCTCATTTTTCCATTGGAGGGAAAAGTGATTAACAGTCACTCGTGGCCACTGCTCCCTCATGATCCTGATAAAGCTTTGACTCAGTGTTACTTCTGTCTGAGGGTAGGCGATGCTGAGCTGTACTGTGATGCTGTGTGTCCATAGGGCAGAGCTGTTGCTGTGTTTCCCCAGCTTTTCTGCTGTGCTGATAACACAGGAATGAATTCTAATTTCTGGGCACACAAGTATTTCAGGGGACGATGTGTAGTGCTAAGACATGAGCTGCTGATGTTTCAGGTGTGAGCCTTATGGTGAGCTGTAGTCATGTATCAGGTGTCTTGGGATAACCCAAGGGTAGGAGTAGTTGGGCTAAAGTGGAGTTCAGCATTTTGTAGTGTAGTCCGTTGGCCTTTTCTAGGAGACAGGAATTAAAAGGTTTTGTTTCAGCAGTGTTGTTTTCAGCATGCCAAAAAATGTGCTTTAGCATAGAAGTTCTGCTGATCAACTTTTAATTGCAAGTCCTGCTTGAATGGCTTTCATCTGGGTCATTGCAGTGTCATGGGGCAGGACTCATGCGTGGTTTAAGAAAGAAAAAACAAAAAGGGAAGTTCAGTGTTGGTGTGAGGGTTTATGTCTCCATTTGTTGGGCACAAATTACAGTTACAACCATGACTACTTTATCACATGCTACAGTCGTCGTTATCTCTGCTATGTAAATATCTTGCAACTGTGTATTTCAGCTTTATGTTGTAGGGGTGTTTCTGGTGGCAGCATTCTGATGAACCCAAATACAGGCTTCCAACCATGAATTCCTAACAGACAGGAAAGAGTCAAGCTCGTATCTCAATGTTAACCTTGACTGCTTTGCAGCAGTGGCAAAAATGTTGGCAACACAACTCAGCACCTCATCCTTCTTGTGGGGCTCCTAAGAAACAGAGCAATACGGAGCTCAGCCCCACAGCTGCGAACCTGAGACTGATGATAGGCATTGAAACTTTGAAAGCTGGGTATGGGGAGTTTGTGCTGTGCCAAGGAAGTATCTGATTTGTGGCTCTTTCTTCCAGCTTATAAAACTGTGTCTGGTGTGAATGGCCCCCTGGTTATCTTGGATCAAGTGAAGGTAAGGATGAAGAACCTTAATGAATGAAGCTATCGAGAGAGATTTTGCAGGAAGAGTTGTAACAGGTTAAATGCTGACTGTTGTGAAATTCATGCATCTCCTGAGCAATTTAAATACAAGGTTGGTTTCCGACTGCTGAAATAAATGAAAACAAATCGCAGTACAGCTGAAGAGTTG